CACTGCAAATCAATCGTATAGGTTTCTAAAGGAATTGCCCGCCCTAACCAAAAGCATTAACGATACTCCGTCCCGACCTCTAGGCGGTATGGCACCTTCTGAGGTCAAGGAAAACAACATAGAAGAGACCCGGTATGCCTCTTATTTGGCTAGAAAGCGGCTAGACAAAATAAAGTCGATCTCAAAATCTAGCAAGAAAAAAAAGCAAGTTTACAAATACAAAATCAACGACAGAGTGCGCATCACACATTTGCGACACATTTTTCAGAGAGAATACGCGCAAAAGTGGACGGGGGAAATTTTTGTGATCGTGAAACGTTACCGTAGTCAAGGTATACCCGTCTATAAACTTAAAGACTTTGCCGATGACCCCATCAGTGGAACATTCTATGAACAGGAACTGCAAAAAGTAAACAAAACCGACGAGGAGACGTGGAAGGTGCACAAGATTCTGAAGACTCGCAAGAGGAGAGGTGTGGAAGAAATATTGGTATCATGGTACCAATGGCCCGCAAAGTTTAATTCTTGGATCAAGAAATCTGAACTTATAAAGGTATAAAAAGGCGTGACAGTCAACTCGAGCTTCAGTTCAAGATGGGTCATCGGATGGTATTGCGTTCTTCTGATAGTGCCAACGTATATCCGTCGAATGTGCCTTGGAATTTTTGGGTACGCTTGCCGAAACCTCTGTCTTTCGAGGGCATCTGGACTATATCTCTCTTAGAATTCAGTTCTACTCCCAATAATCAGGCGAAAGAATTGTACGTGTACTGCAATGCTTGTGAGAACACCATCGTTGGTGACCGTGAGAAGCCATTGCTGAGGCGCGTGTTTAAGGGCAGAGAAAAGAACATCATTTATCAGCTCCCATACGACGTGCCTTTAAGACTGGGTGAAGTACAGTCTGTAAACGTGTATATAAGGGATTCCCACGACAATCCGGCCTCATTTCTCAAAGGGGAAGTGACAGTGACGCTTCTATTGAAAAGACATCTCTTGTCGTTGTGACGATGGGTTCGACCTACGTATCTGATCCTCGAGTGTGGAAATCCTTTTACAAGAACATGTTAGGTGGACAATTTAATCCTGGAGGTTATCGAGGTCGGCAAGTGGGTGGAGGTATCGCGGGAATGTATTCCAAGAAACCTTACATGATACCCGTCAACCCTCATGTGACTACCAAAACGGGAGGGGAAAAGATTATCGGGAAGCAAGTCACCCCCGTGGCTGCCGTAGAAGAAAGAGCCAAGACGGAATTAAAGACGGCCAAGAAAGAGGACGTCCCTCGCGTACCAGTGGGTACTATAAAAGCCGGTCGATTTCAGAAAGCCGTCAGTAGCAAGAAGCGCATCAGAAGAGGTACGTCAAAGAAAAATACACAAAAGAAAGCCAAGAAAGGAAAATTAGACACACGCTTGGAGGGATCAAACGTATTTGAAAAGTAAGATGGCTTTCCTCAACGACAAGATCACGGACATCGGACTACCACTAGAATTGTCTCTCTTTACTGTGCCGCCCAATCAAGTAGCTGTTGAAAAAATTTACTTTTCGGAATGTCGTCCCGTGACCTCCTTCGACACCACCGATGCCCCTATCGAAATAACCGTTCCCAATCAGGGCAACGAGTACATAGATTTGAGACGCAGTCGCCTCTATGTCAAGTGCAAGATCCTCAAAGTCGACGGCACGCCACTGGCTGCTCAGGAAAAGACCGGCATCATCAATGTCCCCCTACAGTCCATGTGGTCTCAGATCGACGTGTACATGAACGGGAAACTCGTATCGCTCAACACGAGTTATCATCCTTGGAAGACTTATCTCAAACTCATTCTCTCGGACGGCGGGGACGTGACAGACTCCCAGTTACAGTCGCAATTATTTTTTCTGGACGATTCCGACATGGACGACCCGGACCCTTACGCAGGGTCCAACGGCGGACTGGCCAATCGATACGTGTACACACAGCAGAGTCACATCTTCGATCTGGAAGGACCCCTGTACGAGGACATTTTTCGTCTAGACAAGTATCTTCTGAATGGCGTTGATCTTCATCTGAAACTGTTCCGTACTTCATCCTCATTTGTTCTGATGAGCGAAGAGAGTACCCCGGCATACAAACTGCAACTGCTGGACGTATCGTTTAAGGCATGTATGGTCAAGGTAGATAGCGGGGTCTTAATCAATCACGCCGAGATTCTAAAAGAAACAACTGCCAAATATCCTCTGACTAGAACTGAAGTGAAGATGAACACCTGTCCAAAGGACTCGGGATCTTTCATCTGGCAGAACATCTGGTCTAATACCCTTCCCATAAAAGCCGTCTTTTGCTTTGTGTCACAGACGGCCGTCAATGGAGATTACCAGAAAAATCCATTTAATTTTCAAAACTTGGCCGAGGAAATGGCCTTGTACGTCAATGGAGAAAGTCTACCAGCTCGACCCATGAGAATGGACGTGGGAGTTAACAAAAACTACGTTTCCGCCTACGTCAATCTCTTCGAGGCTTCGGACAAGTGGAACAAAGACGCCGGACTCAAGATCACTCGTTCCTCTTTCGCCAGCGGATACGCGATATTTGCTTTCAATCTGGCACCGAGTGACTTGGGAGAAAGCTATTTAAACCTGATTCGTCAGGGAAACGTCAGATTGGAAGTCAAGTTTGCAAGCGTTACGACCGAAACCCTAAACTGTCTGGCATATGCAGAATTTCCCGCACTCTTAGAGAACGATCAGTCCCGGGACATCAGATACACGAGAGCATGAATACCAAACAACTGCAGTGCGTCTTAAGAGAAGACCAGTGCCTATCAAAGATTACAAGCGGTGTTTTTGCTTCGGATACGCTTCCTGTTTATATCGGCTTCTATCCTGCTGCAATTGTCTGTAATACGGACGAATCCAATATGCCGGGAAAACACTGGGTGGCGATGTGGTTCGACAGAATCGGAAAGGCAGAATTTTTCGACAGTTTTGGATGTCCTCCGGATAAATACGGCGAGAATATCCAACGTTTCTTATTCGAAAAATCCTTGTCTTACACGTACAACAAAAGAGTTGTACAAAACAAGAGTGCCAGTACCTGCGGATATCACGTGTTGTTTTTCTTGATGATGAAATGCAGAAACTTTACCATGAAAGACATCATAAACATTCTGGTCGACTCCGGTCGACCTGATCAATTTGTAAACAGAGTCGTGAGAGATTATTATCACTGCCTTTAATCATACTTGGTTGTACATTTGCTAAAGTTAAACTTGTTGATTTGTTTTCTCTGTGCAAGTTATTGACAATAAAGGAATTGGTGTCATTTCTGTATAAATAAGAGTGTTCAATCAGAAAATATCATTTGGAGATTTGATACCCTGACATGGAGGGTTGGTGGAAAAGAGAGTCTTTGTTGAAATTCACGAGTCCCACGACGTGTATGGTGGTAGGACCAACCATGTGTGGAAAAACCAGATTCGTGTACGATGTCATACGTCAGGCTGGTGGCATGTTCGAGTCGCCACCCGAAAAAATTGTGTATGCCTACACGGAATATCAAACGTTGTTCGATGAGATGGAGAGGAAAATAGACAATTTTGTGTTATATCAGGGTCTTCCCACCAAGGAACAGATAGAAGAATGGAGCACCGATTGTAAACACACCCTTTTGATTTTGGACGACATGATGACTCGAGTCACGAGAAACGAAGATTCCGTGACTCTCTTCTGTGTGACAGCTCACCACAGACAAGTGTCTCTTTTCTTTCTTGCACAGAATCTCTTCATGCCGGGCAAATACTCTAGAACAATATCTCTCAATTGTCATTACGTCGTCTTGTTTAGACAGGTGCGAGATTCCAGACAAATCTACACTTTTGGATCCCAGGCCTTTCCGTCTCGATTAACTTATTTCAAGGATGCTTATGAAAAAGCCACATCTGTGCGATATGGTTACCTGTTAGTAGATTTGACCCCCTGTTCGCACGACGAGTACAGGTTGCGCACGCATATCTTCCCCAATGAAGACGTCACCGTGTACGCCCCCCAATAAAAAGGCTTGCACTCATCTGAAGTATTCATTATGACAATCATGAGTCGAAGAGTGAGAGGTCAGCTTCATTTCTTGTCTCTCCTGCAGAGCACGAGTCCCCGACAGAGTCGGGCACTCATTCAGACCATATCTAAAGATCAATTGACGGCCCTTTCTGAAGTGATTCTGAATGTCTTCAAAGGAACTTTTCCTCTGAAAAAGGAGACGATAAAAAGACTGAAAAGGCACAAAGCGGCCATTCGAGTTTTGGCTTCACGACGAGAAAGCAAGTCCGACAAGATAAAGATTCTCTCTAAAAAGGTGAACATACTTCCGTACCTCATTAAACCGGCCTTGCAAGTCATTGAAAATGGCACGAGAACTGATTCTAGTGCCACGCGCAAAATACCAGAGGATATTAAAAAACGTGTCTCAGAATCAGACGAGTCGTGACTCCGAAGACCAAGAATACGACCCTGCAGAGAAGAAGGAGGATACAAAAGAATCTGTCGATGTCATCTTACGCACCCTTCCAAAGATATTACAAAGAAAGGCTAAAAAAACTTCTACATTACATTGAGGAACAAGGCGGTGATTTGCTGAAATGGAACGAATCGAAAGAGCTCGTTTACGAGGGTAGTGTGGTGAGGGGGTCCCACGTGAATGATTTACTGAAATATGTGCTGATGAGAAATCCCAAACAGGTTCCGAAAGGATATCTACAATTTAGGGAAGCTCTTAAAACAATTCACACGCCAGCCTCCCTGTGGATCGATAGGTTCTCATCACAGGAGACACACCAACACGGAGAGGGATTCCTCGTCCGAGGACCAGTCGGTCCTCCACCCGGACTACGACCCATCCAGAAACAAGAGAAAACATTAAATTGGATCAAATTTTAATGTGTAAAAACTGTACAACACATGCCATTTCGTAATAAATCATGCACTCGCTTAACAAGTTTTATGTGTTCATTTGTATGAAGTCAATATCCGTACGGTAGAGTGTCGAGAGTGTCCCCCTGAATCACTCGTTTACTGTACACGATTTTATAGTCCTTGCGTTCTGGTCTACTATAAATGATCCTCTTTCGTTTTAATCTGTTAATTTTGTTCCGATTCATGACACTAAGGGTGTCATTCGACATGTCTCTAGGTCGCACAACCATCTCTATCATCGATCTGAAGTTCAGTACACGTGCATTGGCGTGGTTGAGCGAGAAGCCTCGGATTTTACACACTTCTGTTCCACTGGACGTTCTATACGCATAATTCTTGGGACCTCCAGAGACGAATTCGTTGATATACTCTCCCGGTTTCAGCTCGCTCGTCAATTGACCCAGAAAAGACCCGACTTGGGGTTCGGCATCCCCGGGTCTACTGACAAATATGACGGAATCCGTATCAAAATACAGGACACGTTGGTCCAGCGTTTGCAGGACTTCGTACAATTTCAGGCGAGCCCAACAGGTGGTGAAACTGGCCACAAAGATGTTGGTCTGATAGTCCTCTCTCGTGTTCACGTCTTTGTGTTCCCAAGACAACTGTAACACGTTTTTGGACACGATGTGAAAATCTCTGAGTTCCTTACCCGGGTCGGACACGATCTGGAAGAATTTGTCAGCCTCGTTTTCGTGAAAAAACGTGCTCTGAGGCATGTTAAGACGTTGTCCGAATTTACCCCAAAAAGAGTTCAAGAGTAGTTTGGCAATGGCACGTAGTGCCGGATTTTTTGTAATGTTCTGTCTGTCGAGTTTTATGCCCTCTCTCTCTAGATACTGCCCGAGATAGTGCATGGCATCTTCCTCGTCCTTAACCCAAGAAGGCCATCCGCTAGCTTCCTGCTTGATCTTTAGAAAAAGGTTGATATATTCTCCAAAAATTCCCCCTTCTCCCGTCGATAAGTCAAACTGTGTAGACTCTTCCCAATGGTAGACCTCATAGATCTTTTGCACGAGATAACCGCATTCTAATGCTTTCTCAATCTCCGGCGTACAAAATACTCCTACAAAGGACCTGTCTTCATCTCTGCATGCACAAGTGGTCTGCCTTTGAACTTCAGCACAAGTTCGGCACAGGGCAAAGGTAAGCTTTCCATTAATCTTCTGAGGCAAAACGGGATGGTAAAGTTTCCTGGGGGGTAACACTTTCACTTTGACCATGCCGAAATAAGAACGAATGTCCTTGAAATTGTTGGTGATGATGGTTGGTTCCTTGATAGGGTACCTGGCATATTTATTGACAGAAGGGTACAGAGAACAGAAATCCAGGTAATGTATTTTCTCTCCATCTTTCGCTTTGTAGTGCAGTTTGACGGCGTTTGTTCTGCCACCGAAAAAGGATTCTCTAGGATTTAGACGTTCTTGTATATCTAGAGATTCGATGAAGCGACGTGTGGAATCATTTCTAGCCAGTAGCTTATAAAAATCGTGTTCCCAAATTTCTACATAATTCATGCCCAGTGATTCTATGTATTTTTTCTTTTTAAATGTCAAGGCCAAAAGTTCATCCATGGATTGGTCGGTTCTGACGTGTTTGTTTTTTCGTCTCTGTTGGGGGTAACAAAGGGGGCATCCGTGCCAGAAACAACCGTGAAATTCATAGGCCGTGTTTGTTTCGGCGCAATAGCCGTCCAGTAGGTATTTCGTTCCAGCCAAGTTGAATTCTCCCTCGTTTAAGGCATGTCTGATGTACATCTGTTTCCCCGTAAGTCGGAAGTGCTCTTCTTGCACCCATAAAAGCCATCTGATGGACACCATGCTGTACTGACCTACATAGGGACCGTATCCCTGAGAAGGGACTTGCGCAATGGGCGAACTGACGAATTCAGTTGACTCGATGGTGTGGTCCTGCATGTCTCTGGCCGAGATCCACCGTCCATCCAAACTGATGGAAAATTCTCCGTCCATCCGCAAGGCCGGTAACCATTCCGTCAAATTACCATTAGACCTCAATTTCACCTTCCAGCTTTCCTTGAGAAACTTACTTCGAAAGACTTGCATACAAACGCTAGCTATGGTGATGTGATTAAAAGGGTCGACCCCTCCCCGAACTACTCTTTCCAGGCCTTCCTCACCTAAGACGACTTCTTCTTTTCCCGTGATAGTCATGAGGATTTCTCTGAACTTCAGACATGCTTTTCTCAATATATCAACATCGCTCTTGCAGTATTCGAGTAATTCTTTAGAGAAATCGAAAATTTCTCGAGTTTCGACTTTTTCTCGATACCAATCCATAAAGGAGTCTCGATCGCTCGCATTCATGGTGTCGCATCCGTAAAACTGAGCAGCTGGATAGGGCCCAACATAGCGTTGATTAGCTCTCGTGTTAAAGTAATGAGGAAAGAAACCCTTCTTCACTTCTGTCAAGCCAAAGGCACTTGGAAGATTGGCTAATCTCATGGGTAGAAAATTGAGCGAATCCAACATTCGAATGTTTAATCCTCTCTCTACGTGCATGTACATGATCTTGGAGCCTGCATATATGACCTTGGGTATCACAGAATTCTCGATCAAATATTCTAAGACAAAGTAACCATCGTAACCTTTCATGTTGTGTGCTAGAACAGTATAGCCTTTGTGGTGCTCTCGAAAGAGCCAGTCGCAAAACATTCGGGCGGTGTCATCTCCACGAAACACGGTCTCTCGAAATCCACACGTATCGACACAAGGGGGACGAAGGTAGCACTTTTCTTTCTTGTCTCTCGCCCCGCAAATCTTACAACGCATACCACATGTCTCGCATTTGGGATGCATACTAATGTCGACATCGTTGATGCAGTCCGGGCAGGTTTTATGTGCCACGACCAGATTGGGTTTGTGTTGCAATCTCCCACACCAGGATTTCTCGCAATTGGTGCAGAGGTCACAACTTCCACAGGAAACTGGCATGTCTTTGCACGACGAACAGTCAGGATTTCTCAGGGGGCGATACCCTTCTTGACACTGAAGAACGTCTTCTTGCGTGCACTCGAAATCGAAGAAAATGTATTTCGAATTGGATTCCTTGTTTTCTTTAGCAGAGATGGTCATTGGCAACAAACTTCTTACAGTTGTTACACCGCCATTCCCCACAGAAATGGTCTTCTGGTTTTCTGTCGCTCCTCTGCATTACTTTCTTGCAAACGACACATTTCCACCACCGTTGACAAGAAGATTCTTTGGCCCTTTTTTTCTTCTGCTGATGCTGTTGAAAACAATCGAACGAACGACAGGTCATGAAGCAAATGAGACAACTCGTTTCTTCCTCTTCTTTCCGAACACAGTTATCTCGCTTGCAAACGAAGCAAGTCGTCAAACACTGGTGACGTGTGTGGTACGGTTTGAGACAACGTTGACAGAATTTAGTGTTCCCAAAGAAACCACAGATATTAGATATGGCATCAAAGTGAAGATCATTCGTGTCCGTTTCGGAATGATATAGATAAATCCTTTTTCGGCTAGTGGATTCTACGGGACCCTCATTCATCTCATTTTCTTCATTTGCGGGGACGGGGCGGATGAAGCGATTGCCCACCGTGGAACTGACTACAAGAATGTCTATGTTCAACACTTCCTCGAAAGGGGGAATGTCTCGTGTCGTGAGATACACGTCAGTTGACATGTTTGCTCTGCGACAGAGGGCTCTAGCCATATCGGTCTGACAGTCTTGAGATTTTCTGTCGTGACACAAAAGTTTTTTATAATACCAGGTAGGACAGACTTTGACTTCGAGCACCTGTTCTTCTATGGGCATGCCTTCCAGTCCCTTGATTGCTTCATGTCATTCGGTCGTGGTCACTTTGACAATTTTCAAGAAACCCATGACTATGCTTCGGGCTAGGCACATATTATCGTCATTCACGATTTGAATGAGTGATTTTTTCCTTTCGCGGTCGTTGCCCTTTCCCGTTAGTTTAACAACAGACCGTCCTTTGCCGCCCTTGGGAATCTCGATGGTTCCGATATCAATATAGAAGCTGTGATCAAAGGGTAGATCCTCGTGACTGGTAAGAACATTTTGTATGTGGTCCATCACATCGCTGGCAGTCAGCTGAGCAAGAGGTTTCAAGGGAATATAGATGGCATTAGACAATTTGTCGTGGTGCACAATCACTCGACCCAAGTCGGAATCCTGAAGTCCGGATCTAGCTTCATTTATTGATTCTTTAAACATGTCTTCTAATGGCCGATAGAGATCTGCAAGTCTCTGTCCCTTAAAGGACTCCTCTTTGAAAGTCACTTGATATTTTCGATCGATGGCCCCATTTTTCTTGAATCTCTTTTCCCCAACCTTCTTGATAGTGTATAATAACTCCTCGTCATTGTGAGATGGTCTGATGTGTACATCGACAGATTCAGATGATCTCTCATTTGCTGAGGAAAGATTCGGGTTTTTTGAGGTTCTCATTTCCGTTTTTGGATCAGGACTTCCTTGACCCATTTGATTTATGATTAATTCATTGCGGTTTCCAACTACTGGATATATCTCGTCGAAGTTACCTCTGAATTCTTCAAGAGATATGTCAGTGGATGGGAAGTCACGGTTTCTGGGGGAATAAATTTCCAGGAGGGGTTTGGGGGGTTCTTGTAGAGATTCCATGCAGGAATGCACCAATTCGTGAAATTGCAGGTCCGAGAGATTGCAAAAACCCTCACCACAGATGCAGCAGATATGAGATGGAGGTGGCTATAATTTAAAAAAAAAATTGTTTGTACATACAAGAAAGTACTAAGTTTTTTCATTTTTGTTTTATTTAAGATGCAAATTTTGACATATGATTTGATATTTGTTTTATTTAAGATGCAAATTTCAATAGATGACTTGGGGGGGGGGGGGATAGGGTGATTGGAGATTACGAAGGAACGTTCAGATGCAATAATCATATTGATGTGTGTACAACTCTTGCATAATTTCTAATGCGTTATTCTTTCAATCCATAATTTATATAATTTCCTCATTAACTCGAGTCCAATTCATAATTTATATAATGTCATCATTAACTGTAGTCCAATTCAATTGTGATTTTTTTGTCCAATCCATAATTTATCATATGCCATACTCTATAATTATATAACTCGGGTCGAATCCAAGTTGCGATTTTTTCCAATCCATAATATATAATATGCCATACTCTATCATCATTAGCTCAAGTCCAATCCACGTTGTGATTTTTTCCAATCCAGAATTTATAATATGCCATACTCTATCATCATTAGCTCAAGTCCATTCCACGTTGCGATTTTTTTCCAATCCAGAATTTACAATATGCCATAAACTTCCACAATCTATATCATACTCATAATTAATTATACCCATAATTAATCCCCCATCCCCCCTCTCCAATCCTCAATGGGAGATAGTAGTGAGTTGCGTTCCCCTGCCTCCCGCTAGGCGGCGATACTATTCCCGGTCCATAGCATCTTGTTTACATTGGATGCGAGATTACTATCGTTCGTTGTTGTATTTAGTTACGTGTGTATTTAAGATCAAAACAGTTGAAAATTATCATGAATAACTTAAAATACGGTTCCTTGAGTATAATTGAGCTTAAAAACGAACTAAGAAAACGAAATGCAAGAATATCGGGTCGGAAAGCAGAACTAGTCGACAGGTAATTCGATACTGAAAACCGCATGCTATATGTCCAACTCTAACATGTGTAATTTCTGTAATTGGTAAATCAAGTAATGCCGCAAATATTTGCAAAATTAAACTATTAAAAACATGATAAAAACCGAGTATTTGTATTTTTAACAGACTTGACGCATACGATAGAAATGCCGACTTTGGAAGAGTTGAGAAACTTGACCCAGATTTTTACATGATATTACCTGATTACGATACATACTCGGACGTCAATTCTGATTCCCCATTCCGTGGTTTGACTATGGAAACGGTTCAAGCCTATTTTGAACTATTTGAAAAGAAGTTTGATAATCATTTTATTCAATTGTACAATGATAATTTCTTAATGTGTTACCGGATCTCCATTGATATTAACCCCTTCACATACATCAAAGGCAAGTGTCGTGCCGAAATGAGAAAAGGTGTGTCGTATACAGTTGATCTCAAAATAACTGAGGAGGGGTCAATATCGGAAGCTCAGTGTGAGTGTGCTGCAGGCATGGGGCCTAATGCACACTGTAAACATGTTGGAGCTGTCATGTATGGGGCGGTAATATTTGCAAAACAGAAGTTCATCAAGACAGAAGAAACTAGCAAATATATCTTGTACATTAAAACCTTTGTCAGCCATTAAACTATCTCCTTGATCACACAGATTTTTCAAACTACTTCTTTCTACAATTTGTCTGTCACTGGTTGAACCACTATATGCTGGACTAATAAAACTTATGAGACCCCCTGGTGTACAACCTATCAAAGCTTTCATCGTGTTTCTGTTTTTATAGGTTGAAAATGTAGCTTGCTGTGCTCTTGGTGAACTTGGTTTTTTAATAGGAAACTCAGTTGCATCTAAAATTGCTCTAGTCTTAGGAAATTTAGCTTTAAAATCTGAAGGTGAAAAATATCTGACAAGGGATTGAGGCGGCCATATGGACACCTCTTGCCATTGCTTTGACATGAATATAATCCAAGTATAAACAATATTTTTTACAGTGCTCTCAGATACATTGAAAAATCTAGAAAGTTCAAAGTTTGTAGTGTACCTTCTTAATTTCATTAAAGTCATAAAAAATTGATCTGGAATCGACAATCCTTGCACTCGAAAAAAAATATAATTAAGACAATATGCAGCAGGTCCAAGTGAACGAAGTACATACATTAATTTACTAAATGTTTCTAGACCTGTATAAGAGTGAATGGCAGCATCATCTTTTTCAAAGTGATCTACTGAAAATAATGGTTGTGATTGTGTTTGTGTCTGCATTTCTCTAAATTCTAAACTATATGATGTAATGTTAGTATCATTGCTTGTTGACTCATCAGCTGACACAATCTCTTCAACAAAGTCTACATTTGATTCATTAATGCTGTCCTCAAGGTCATCATGGCAAGCTTCCTCAAATTTTCTCTTTTTCTGCACCCGGCCTTCTACTCGAGAAGATCTTGAAGATGCCGCTGATGACTTTGTCCAGCAGAAAATACTAGGGACTGAAGAGCTCTTTAGTCTTCCATGTAATGGTTTCTGTCCTGTTGATAAACAATGAAGTGTATATCTATTCATACTGAAAACGCTATTTTTATTCGTTTTCACATATGTGTGCTTTAATGAAAATTTTTAATGCAAGTTAAAGAACATGAAAATAAAAAAAAGTGGGTTGTATAAAAATACAGATCGGCTATACACACAGCTGACAGTTTGCAAGAAATGTTTTCATTTCATTTGCTACAACATTCGATAGTGATCAAAACAATGTTGATTCACAATACCTTGTATTGTTTCTATCACGTAATCGTCAGGTTTAAAATGTCGTTTGCATACAACGGCAGACTTGGAAGGCTCCCATAACTTTCTCGTCTGTTCGTCCAAGCGTTTAATTGCTATAATCCACTTGTCTCTCCTTGATTTTTCGGTCGGGAACTGATGCCCGCCTCTTTCATGACATCCAGGTACACAGCAGCAACTACTGGGCATTGTTGTGTGTTCTAATTCAACTTATTACTTACTTATGTACTCTTATCGTTTTTGTTTCACGTGTTTGCTACGAAGCGGAAGTATCACAAGGACCGGGACATGTAGCGCCACTATGTTAGGAACGATAACTCACTACTTTAAACCATTAAAGGATTCGTTCAGTCCATAATTTACAATATGCAATTCCAAGGTATGGAAGGACTTACAGAATTTTCCACATCATTTTCCTTATTGCTTTCTGTACTCTGTGTCCTTCCTTTCTTTTTGGGAGGTGAGAGTGTGGACACACCATCAAGAATCTCGTGTTCTATTTCGTGACCCTCCATGTCAAATTCATTTTGAAATTCCTTTCCACATCGTGGGCAAATACTGGACTGCTCCCACATCTACGATTTCAAAGTTCTGATTCATTAGCATGTCAAGAAATATAGACCTTCATATCTCCATAGGTAACCAGAAAATTGTCCCTTGGACAGAGTACTAATCATATATATTGGGGGGAGGGTATATAAAAAAACAGCAAAGAAAATGGTTTACCAATTTTTATTGAAAAAACATAAAAATAAAACAAAAAACAAAGTGAGAGCAAATTATTGCACATTGCAGAAATAATGGTTCCCCTCTTTTCAAAAAAAAAATGTTTTCAAACCATATCATGTAAAAAAAAATTTTAATTACAAGAATCATTAATTCAACACCTGTCTCGTGTAAAGAAAAATAAATCACAGAAATCATGTAAAAGAAAATATCAGCAAAAACATATCAAATGTTTTGTGCAATAAAATGTTTGTTGCAAGAACCAACTGATAATGGTAAAAACACAATAGGTATGTAAAAATTTTTAATGACTTCATGCAATAAACTTCTTGCAACATACATTTTTAAGCAAATACATACAATTTGTAAGGATCATTAATACAACATGTGTCTCATGTAAAAATATATATCACAGAATTCATTATAAGAATAAAAAATCATCGAGATCATAATAAAAATGTTCATTGCTGAATGCAACAACCAACCGGTAATGTTATAAACATTACGACTGTAAAATTTTTAAAGACCTCATCATACAAACTTTGAAATTACAAGGACATTAATACAATATGTGTCTCATGTAAAAAAAAATATATCGCCATTTTCTAGAAAAAAAAATCAAGATGATCATCATTTATGACATACACCTTACTGTCACAAGAGTCCCTCGTTCATGACATAGAGCAAATATCGGTATATATACACTAAATGAAAGTCAACTAATTGTCTTAGGCACAAACTTTTTGCAATTACAAGGACATTAATACAACATGTGTCTCATGTTAAAGGATTTTTATCACCACACTTTATCTTTTGATATAACAATAATTATATGCTATTAAAAGCAAAAATAAAATTTTCTTTTACCAAAAATGTATAAATTCGTTGTTTTTGCGATTCAAAGTTCAAAATTCTCAATATGCATATTTTCATCGAGATTTCACGCGCCATTGCTGTGACGTCATAGGTGTCAATTCCGGTCAACCGAGAAGGCGAGAAAGCGCTTGTTGTGTTTACTTTACGGGTCAATTAAGATCCGTTAGGAAACAGATTAGTGATAATTGGACTTTAAATTGTTACAATGGTGTATTGTGCTGCTTACGGGTGTAACAACGTGCACAAGAAGGGGTGTGGTAAGAGTTTTTTTACGTTCCCGAAGGACACTGGTCGGAGGGAAACATGGACATTTTTTTGCAAGCGTCAGGGGTTTGTGCCGACAAAAAACCATCGTTTGTGCTCGGACCACTTCTCCAAACATCAAATTCTAAGGGATCCTGCCAATTTGGAGCAGTTTGGCTATGCTGGGGCTCGGATTCGACTGAAAGAAGACGCTGTGCCAGACGTCCCTCTTCCCATCTCCAGCGAAAATGCCGCCATTACCCTTGTCCTTCCCCCCAGACCCCGAGGGGCCTACATGAAGCGACAGAAGGCTGATGTAAGTAAATTACTCTACTTTTTAGGAACTAGAATTGGATATATACAACACTCTATAGTAGGTCCTTATTATAATTTTATTTGGAAATAACTTTCATTCATAAATTCTTGTTTTCAGTACACTTGTACTTGACTACTTGGTCACTTTGTGGTAACATTTGTTAGTATTTTTTTTACAGTTACTTGTTGCATTCGCTAAAGTTTTTTTTTTAAATATTCAAATACAGGGGTTGAATATTCTATAAACCATTAGAACACTACTTCCTACATAGAATTAGAAATCAGAAAATATACTGCATGAATTGGAGGGGGGTCCGGTCACAAGTGTAGTGCTGTTTCGAATAACATGAAAAAGAAATTATGATTACTTTTTGTTATACTAGAAAAAAAATTATCAAAATTTGTTATAAAACAGTGTTTAAGGTATATTCAACTAAGTGTACGAAGGTCACTAATGAATAGAAATTCATGCTACATGTCACTAAAGAATAGAAATTCATGCTAATGTCTTTTGTAGACTACGTAGATGTCCTCAGATTGAATCTTTGTGAGAGGCGAAGACAGCATCCTACATACACACAGTCCACCGATGATGCTCACAGATTCCTCGGTTACCGCCCACAGTCCCTGACATCAGGATTTGAAGAATGCGTGAAAGAGGACCTCATCGCCACTCGTCGATCCAGGTTCTGTCGTTGAACACTTTCATGTGGGCCGAGGATATTGGAAACCAGTGTAGTGCTCCGATTGGAATGTGTTTCTGATTTTTGACACCACGCATGCTGGGAGGACCTTTCGATTCCCTTTGCCTAGTCGTTGCCAAATCCATAAAACAAATCTCCTGTAGGCGACATATCTGTAGATCCTGAATGAAATGTGACATTGTTAATTATTGTTTGTTGAATTGTGCAGTAGTATATTACTGTTTATTGTTATTGTTATTTGTTGTTGATTTGATGTATATCTTTATGTTTTTTTTATGAGTAAATTAATCTATTTATTTAAAAAATCTATTTATATGAATAAAATATTTATTAAAATGCAGTCAATGAATAAAATTATTTCTCATCTGAAGACATTACATCAATGTAACTAAATGATTGAACCTTCAAAACTCTTTTCTTTTCATTCATGAATGAGTACATTATGTATGGTAGTTCACAGAACTTGTATTGAGAAAGAAATCAAGTATGAATTTGAATGATGATTCAAAGTGAAAATCAAAACTTGGTTTGCATGGTATGGGTGTAAATTTAATTAATGGGACCTTTTCTTTTATTCCAATCTATAGGTTGTAAAATACTTACTCATTGATAGGCTCATTATCATCAATTGGTCCCTCAGACTGGATGTAGTCGTACAGGCTAACTTCTAAAACCCGAAGGTTTAAGCAGTTATCTATGAAAGTCTGATGATTGGTTATGCACTCCAAGTCAGAAGATTCTCTGATGTTGTCAACAGCTGAAATCTCTGTGCAACAAATACACTCGACTGTAGTTCTCATCACCTCGCAAGATCCACAATCACACCTGCATTTTAAAATCAATTATTTTTTTTATTATAAAAATAAATATTTTGAATAAATAGCATTGTGAGAAACAACAATAACTCAGAGATCGCATAGAGTCATAGTTTATAATGGCGTCCGTTGTAATGAACTGACGTTTTAGTTCGCGATAATTTCTTAGTATTGAGACATAATAGGTTAATTAATTTACATTTTTGGGATGAAATAGACTTTAAAACATTAAAAAATTACGAAGATTTAACGCACCAGATAGTTCCATTCAGCCGGTGCCCTGGGTTGTCACGGGCTTCGTCGTCGCTTTCTTCGCTACTTGTCGCCGAATTTTCTCCATTAATACTATTTGCCGGGGGTTCAAACATGTAGGGTTGAACGTCCATAACCAAGGGAATGTCGTCAATGTCGTAACTTCTGTCTTCCATAATGTAGACTTGTTTTATTTATCTTTAAAATCGGTTTGATCTCTTAATCCTTACGATCAGCTGTTCGAGAATTGACACCTATGACGTATCGTACCACGTGACCGCGATCTAATTAGTGGAGATTATGATTGCGAAGGCCTTGAATTACGGCCGTTTTCACACCTAATTACTACTGTTTTCGTGTAAATTAAAC